AGAGGAATATTGGCTATCGAGCGTCGGGTAATGCTCATTGGTTTTTTGACGGAGCGCGCTGCGTTGCTGATGCGCGTCACGGAGGCGCAAGAAATGATAGGCCGTCGTCTGACCGAAAATGACTGGAAAACAGGACTTTTGGGTAAGATGCGGCAGCATCGCGTGGGGCGGCGCAGAAGTGTCGCTGTTAGTGTTGAAAGTAGCGGCAGCAACAACAACAACGGCAGCAGCAGCACTGAGCCCGTCGAAGCATCACCAGCCGTTTTCAGTGAAGAAGAAAAGGCGCTCACGCCGGGCGCTGAAGCCGCGGCGTCAACAACGAAGGTGGGACGATCCCTGTCAGCCCCCAGCAGTTTTTGGCGAAGGAGTTTACAACAAAATCGTTTACGTTTGTCATTATCACCGTCGCTTCCGCCGCGACCGTATCAGAGGCATAGCGGCAACTGCTCAGCACACGCCACCGTGGCAGAGGTTATAAGACGTTTTCAACCAGAGCAGAAGGAAGTTCTGCACCCTCAACAACGTTTTGGCGCATGCCATGTCATGAATAGGAATGCTAGTGGCACAGAGAAGTTCATGAATTGCAAATCGAACACTTTCTCCGCCGCAGGAGTTGGGGCGGGCGGGTTGCATTAATCCCCAAACATTGTCTTGCGCACCCAAAAGGAGGTGTGTATCTGTGAATGCTAGTTGGGTGGTGTGTTTTGGATTTTTTCATATATATTGCACGAGTACAGAAAATAAATCGAGCGAAGACGGCAGGAAAAGAAACTTCAGTAAAAAGAAAAAATTGACATAAAAAAAAAGGAAAAGGACGGCCTGTAAATATACATGTAAGTATTCGTCTATGAGCTTTGCGTTGCTCCTTTGCTATTTCTTTATTATCTTATTTGTGTTGCTTCGGTCACTTTTTGTCATTTTCTGCACTAATCCCTATTTGTTTTTGTTTGTTTTCCCACTCTTACCAGCGCGTCTAGCTATACAATGCCATCTGGGTGCCGAGGAGGCGGTTGAGCAGCGGAAAAAGTTTCCTGCTATAAAGCAACTGCCATTGAGAGAACATTTCGCTGCGTAGATCTTCCTCAATGCCCAGCCGTTGGCGCGCAGCGGAGGTGCCTGGGCATTCTAGAAGCAGATGGCGAAAGGTTTCCTGCGGGTCAACTGGCGTGCCTGTGGAAGCTGGCTGATCCTGCGGTGGCAGAGACCGCTTCCTGGCACCACGGAGCGAGTAGCGGTGAGTGTCTTGGCGAATGGTACGACGCCACTTGTTGCTGGGCTGGGTAGTGAAGCATGTCAGCGGGTCCGTGTGCAATATGGGCGCCATTCCATGTTCCGTGTGTTTTCCGGTTGCCATGGTCTGCGTCGCATGCTGAGCCGCAGGCTCGTCAACATGCACTCCACAATGTCCGCAACAAAACTGCCGGTGCACGGACCGGCCGGCACGCATCAGTGTCAAGAGACGCTGCCAGATCCGGTCCTCCGTCCAGTCGGTCTGGCGGAACGGGTCCTTGTTGAGGGCCGCTAGGAGAGACTGGCTTTGTGTCGCCACAAGCGGGGTTTTTACGCCTGTGATGGATCCGAGGGATAATCAGCCTGTCCAGGACCAACGAATCGATTTGTCTTACCAGGCTTTGTCTTCATTGTCGTTGCGACCTTCTCCGTCTCTCCGAGTCGAGGCCGAGACACGGCAAGGGCATGTGTACCAGGGCAAGCTTCTGTCGCCGGATGACAGGCTATACGTCAGCTTGGCGGAGGCAGCATCATG